TTGTGGCGGGAGGCCACCCTCTCACACCAGACACGGTCTGCAGCCAGCGCGCCCCAGCCTCTGAAGGGAATTGCAGTCAAGAGCTCAGGCCCTCCCTCCCACTCAGTGGACATGCCCTCAGCAAAGCTGTGTTTCCAGTCCACATTCTTCCATGTTCCTCCACTCCGAGGACCGCTTCAGGCCAGGAACCCGGCTTCACCATGTGGGAGATGGGTAGATCTCCAGCACATTTGCCTCCACTCTGATTCAGCATTTGGTACTTTCCCACTCCTACCCCTCTCTTTTCTCTCACCCTAGCCCCCAGGGCTATAAAACAGGAGGAGTCTTTTGTTCTGGGCTCCTTTAGGCAGTAAGACGATCCTCACATCTGCTCAATCCATCAGTCCATTTCTCTACAGGGAAGAATGGAACATTGAGGGAGTCAGCACTTTTCTTCTGTTTCAATTCTTACTTACACTTCTTACTTACATTATTGGAGGAAATGATTAAAGACTTGAGCGTTACTTTGATTTTGTCTTGTTTGAACTGACCACTCTAATACCCGGCTGCCCCCCCCCCGCCCTTTAGCTCTTGACTAACAAGTAACAACATCAGTTATTTTCAATTAAGTGTTTTTTTCTATGCCAGACAATGGTTCTAAGCATTCTACATGGCTGTCTTGTTTAATTCATGCAACAACCCTGAAGTATAAGTCTAATTTTTAATCCCACTTCGGAAATGAAATGTAGGTCTAAGTTTTATTCCTTTTGAAGAGAAACAAAAACTTAAACTTTTCCAAGTTTGCACAGCCAAGTGGCAGCCTGATATTCGAAAAGAGTTTATTCCATTGCCTGTGTGCCTAAAAAAAGAAAGAAAAAATGGCCAGAGAGAGGAAAAGCTATTAGACCGTGAAGGCTTGAAGTAAAGGCAGAAGACAATAGCAGGCAAAGAACAAGGTGAAATTAGATACCCGGATGATAGATCATGATCCACTAAAAACTGTAACCAACCTCTTAATTAATGGTTCAATATTTTATCAATTAACTGATCAACAATGGAATTTTTGAAAGAGGGTGAAGAAACCGAACTTAGCCAAAATGTTGGTGAGGAATGTTCTTGAGAAGTCTCTTTAGGCAGAAGTGGGTTGTGCTAGACCAAAGTCTCCATCCCCGCTCATCTTCAATTGTTGGGACACAACGGTTATAACTCCTGATCATGCTGGGAGAGTCTTATTTTCAGAGATTATGGCTTGTTTGATAATGAAAGATCATTATCTCCCCTTGCACAGCCTGCTGCCTGTGTGTGAAGGTTCACAGGGGCCATCTAGTGTGTAAGGTATGTAAGCATGGTCTGCTAAGGTCCTACTTGGTTGGTATATATAACAGGTGCAGAAGACAGTCCCTTTCTCTTACTACTTATTATTTTTTTTAATTTAAAGTCAAGGTAGTTAACAAACAATGCAGTATTGGTTTCGGGAATAGAACCCAGTGGTTCATTACTTACATATAACACCCCAGTGCTTATCCCAACAGCTGCCCTCCTTAATGCCCATCACCCATTTAGCCCATCCCCCCCACCCATCTCTCCTCCAGCAAACCCTTTGTTCTCTGTATTTAAGAGTCTCTTATGGTTTGCCTCCTTCTCTGTTTTTACCTCTTATCACTGCTACTGCTGGTCCATTTAAACCAAAGAGCAGTCTCTACTAGACTGCCTGTTCGTATCCTCAGGATACGCTTATAGGGTCAAAGAGTCTGGATTGACTTTCTCAGTCCTTGGTTGTAGCTAGATGGGTCCCCAACCCTACATTCACTTCCCACCTGGCCCAGATCCCCATACAGATTTTCATTCACTTGTTGCCAGGACCCAAAGGAAGCAGCCTCTGCCCAAAACATAGACTGGAATTTTATACTGTTTTATTTTGGGCAAGAAGAGAATCCTCCTATGCGTGAATGTCATTGCTCCATTTTCAGACACTTTTTAACTTAAAATAAGATCTCAGGAACTAGACCAGGGATCTGTCTATGTTGCTGACTCTGGTTAGGATTTCCACTTGTGGTGGATATGGTCTGGGGACATTTCACACACCATTCCTATCCTGGAGAGCCACGGTGAAATAGACGTAGGACTGAGGTCATGCAGCTCTGCTTTCCTTAGCCACACTGGATAAGTCACTTAACCTTTCTGAGCTTTACCTAATAGAGCTACTTCTAAGATCTACTTAATACCTAAATTCCTTATAAACGGCTAGTATTGTTACTGTTTGTCAATGAGTATTTAAGCAAGAGCTCAAAATAATCTTATCTTGATGGCCAACTGGCAGGTTTTTCTGTTTCCTAAGAGTAGGTCCCAGCAATGCTGGATTGTTTGCAGATGGATTTGATTGTAACTTACTTATTTATTTACTTTTTGACCAGCCCAGAGATGCTTAATGTGCGTAAAGCTTTGGCTTCTTGTTGAGTATGGGCTCCCATATATGTTTAGCTAACCAGCTTGGGATATTGGTGCCAGCACCAGTTAGTGTTGGTTTGCTGTGTGTAGGGTTCCTTGAGGAATGTGAACCTGTCTGGCTGTTTAAATTTTCATAATAATTTATAAATGATGCTAAGGAAACCATCTGTTTTACCTGCAGCAAAAAACAAGTTGTAGAAATTTACGGAAGGACTGTTGCTTTTCAGGAGACCTCAGGGTTGTCCAGGAATTAGATGCCACTTTAGTCCACATACTTAAAGTTAGCCAACTGATTCTTTGGAATGCTCACAGCAATGTCAAATATGTCCTAAATGCCATTGTTATAAAGGAAATGAGAATCTGATCTCTATTCTGACTCTCTGGAGTGTACTACTGATCCTTCCTGACTGCAGACTCTTCTTGGCAGGGCAGTAACTTACTCTTTCATTCAATACTAGCATGAGATCCTGGAGGTTGGCTTATACACTTTGCACCTCAATCACTGTGTCTCTTTTTACTTCTGTGTCTTCATACAGAACATTTTCCCTAGAGATCCATTGACCGTGGCATACCCTTCAAGTTTTTAAATCCTGTTTGGCCAGTCTAACTCCTCATTCTCAGGAAATAACTGATTGGACCTGGACCTGATCTTTTTGCCTGAATCAGATCCAGATGAAGGACGTATCGTGCCCTGAAAACTGAATATGTAGTGAACATTGCCAGTTGTCAGAGAGTTACTGTTTTTCCCTTAATATTTTGTATTATGTACTTTCAGAGAGTCTAATAATACCCTGGGACCAAAACAGGGCCACTTGACCAATTTTTGCAGGTCCTTGGATCTTTGATCTCATCCTTCCTTGTCTGTGGTTTCCCCTTCCTTTTCTCTGAATCCTAAAGGGTAAATCTTTAGGAAATCATAGCTATTAAGGTCTGTCAGATTTTGGATTCAGATTCTGGTCCTTCATCTCTTTGTTTGGCTGAAGCAGTCTAGAGACATTTTCTGCCCTGATACCTTTGCTGATCTCTGATTACAGAGACTGTTCAAGTCCAGGGCGTCTCCTACTAATGCTCTATTTGTGATGGCTGGGGAGTGCTCAGAGGGGAGTCTGGGAGAACTCACCAGGTTGACCAGCCTTGCTCAGTCCAGACCCTGAATAGTCCTTGAATTATTTCCTCACCTAAAGCTGGTACAGGATTCTGAATCCCCTTGAATTTTTCACAGGACTCAAGTACACTTCAGGGCCCTTGGATATATCCTTGGACAAAGCCATTACTAATCCCATTGAAACATACCTTTCTACTTCTTCTTCTACGATAGTTTAGAAGCAACTCTTCATTAGACAGTGACAAGCAATTAAGATGCACCTAGCTGGCCTTTCCAAACTAAATTTGGGACCCCTTAGCAAGTCACTACCACAACATAGTGGGATTGGCCAGAATCTAAAAAACAAATAAAACGAAAAGAGAAGATACTAGAATTTGTTGCACATGTTATTTCATGAAATGTCTATTGTAGTTATATGTGTAACATAGGTATGCAGTAGGTTCTGATGCAAAATATATTTCTTAACATGGGTTATGGTCAAAATAGTTTTAAGAGTTACCAGACTAAAATTGAGCTAATGTGCTCGAGAGTATTAGGGACAAAGAGCCAAATTTACATTATTACCTTTGGATTTACTAAATTCAAAGAATGATTTGATGGCTGTAACCGTAAGTACTTGAACAGGCCAAGTAGGCAATTGCTTTGACCAAGTTCATTGTACCCCATCTGAAGAGGCCTCCTGTGTTGTCTAACAGTATGGACTATTGCGGAGATCATCTCCAGCATGCGTCGTGCTCCATGCAAGGCAGAGAGAAGTTTTTATAAGCATTGCATTTCTGGTTCTGCACTTGTCAGCTTTCTCTACATGGATATCTCATTTTCATCTCAAATTTACATGAACAAAATTGGAACTCAACTGCAATCCCAAATCTGTTCCTCTGGTTATGAGGAACATCCACCAAGTTGCTCTGATTCCAGTCCTAGGGGTTTTTTGTTTTTGTTTTGTTTTATTTTTTGACTCATTTCATTTTTACTCTCTTTATTATCTTACTTGATGACAAGTCCTGTGGGCTCCATATCCACAATATATTCTTACTCTGACCACTCCCTTCTTCTGTCCTAGTACCTCCCTGGTGCCTGGACAACTGTAATAGCCTCCTAAATGGTCTCCCTACTTCTTCTCACATTTCCCTAATACCCGTTCTCTACAAGGCAGCCAAAGTGAGCTTTAAATTAAGTCAGACAATTTTATTCACCTGTTTAATGTACTTCATTGGCTTCATATTATACCAAAAATAATGCCTACACTCCTCAGATGACTCATAAAACTTTGCAAAAGCCTGCCTTTGCCTTGCCCCCCAAATGAATCTCATACCACTCTCTTTATGGTCAGCACCCATCAACCATAATAAACTTCCTTCTTTAGCTTGAATAGACAGAACATATTTCTACATCAGGACATTGTACTTCTTGTCCCACTTGCCTGGGGATGTTCCTTATCCAGATCTTAGCCCCAAACTTGTCAGTTTGGACTATTTCCTCACTTCCTAGTTTTGTATCATTTGTGGGTAATTACTTCCCAAAAGAAGTCAAACATGGATTTTTTACTTAATTTTTCAAATGCAGTCTATCATTAAGAATCTTATCTGTCCCTGCAATGTTAATTTTAGTGTGATGTGTTTGTAGTTAGTTTAAAATTTCCATTACAGGCCAAAGAAATTTGTTAGCAAACCAGTGGGATATGAAAAGTTCCAGATTTGTGGTCTCGTTACAAGGTGGTGTAACTCAGGTGAGTAGATAATTTACCATTAGAACATGCTTAAATACAAGCTGGTGGAAATCTGCAATGCCATGGCTTACAGAGGAGAGTGATATCTAAATGTCTAGAGGCAGCAAAATGTAGTAGGTAAGACTGAGGATTCGGAGTTTTCTGGGTTCCAATCCTGCTGTATCACTTACTAGCTGGGAGAACTTGGGCAAGTCATAACCTCACTGTGCCTTTATATCTTCCTCTGTGAAATGAGGAAACTACTTGTACCTACCTCCTAGAGTTATTGTGAAGATCAAATCAATTAGTCCAGAAAGTGTTTAGAATGGAACCTGGTATGTAAGTTCAGCTATTATCATGGCGTACAGGTCTTTCCACAGCAGGATGTGAAAATGAACCTATATGTTTGGCATTAATGTTAGAGTACTCATGAGAGAAAAGATTTGCCTCCTCCCTTTCACTCCCCAACACCCACACACCAAAAAGAGGTGAAGAAAAGAGCATATTGCTCTTGGGAAGGTAGAAATTGCTATCAGAAGAGCAGACACAGGTCAGGGAAGAGAGAAGTAAACAATTCTAAGTCCTCAAATACAGATAGGATCAGGCCAAGACAGTTTAGGCGTGAGGGAGCTCCTAGTGATCGGATTTGGGACAATTTGAGTACCATAAATAAATAAAGGAAAGAAGGAAGGAAGGAAGGAAGGAAGGAAGGAAGGAAGGAAGGAAGGAAGCTGATAACATACAAATTGAATTTTTGAAAGCATAAATTAATAGTGGGGATTTCCCTATAAGAGGGAAAGAGTAGGGAGGGAGAGAGGGGAAGGGTGGGAGAAAAAGAAGAGGGAGGGAAGGCAGAAGAGATGAACAGCCCTCAGTGCAATAAATGATCCAAGCAATGATCATCAATGGGTGCAAAACCATTGAGTAAAATGTAGGGAAAACAGAGTATTCATGTGGATCAAAGTATTACCCCACAAATGGCTTCTTACTCCCCAAAGAAAAATCTGTCAACATTTTAACTAAGTGCTCAAATTTACCATCACCAACAGTTGGACAACTTGACATCATGTGTCGCTTGATTTGAAGCCATAAGCAGTACGCAAGTCCTACCACCTACAGAGTAGAATTCTATCCAGTATGCACGCCAGAAATGTTTAGCCTGAGTGTAACATGAGGAAACAGTGAGGAAATTTCAGAATGTGGTCCGATGTTCAGAACAAATGTCCTGGACACTGAAAAAAACACAAGTCAGTGATAAGTAGGGTGTTTTCTACTCTAGATTGAGAAACCAAGAAGAGTAAATAACCAAATGCAGTGCATGAAACTTAATTAGATCTCAAATTTCGAAAGACAGAAGCAACTATTAAAAACATTTCAGGAGCAATAAGGGAGTCTGAAAAGAGCATAAACCAGACGATATTCAGATATGAAAGTGTGCTTATCTAATAGAATGTCTCTATTTTTTCAGAGATGCCTATTAAGGTACACAGAGTTGTAGGGTCATGATGTCTGTAAACTCAAAAGTTGAGAAAAAAAAGTGTGTGTAAACAAACGTGTGTATGTGTGTGTGTGTGTGTGTGTGAGAGAGAGAGAGAGAGAGAGAGAGAAAGCACATATTGCAAAAAGCTAAATATTGGTGGAATGATGATGGCATTATGGTTGTTCCCTGCAGTATTATTTCAAATTTGCTGTATATTTGAAAATAAAAAAAGAAACTAAAACAAAAATATAGCCAAAATACAAAATTAACAGCTTCTTACCTGTTGCATTCTGTGCTCCTGCCAGCCTGGCTCTTATTAAGCCGTGTCTCTCTTTGAGGCGAAGAATTCGAACTTTTGGAAACTGAGACATGTATTTATCCAGATTATCTTTTAGGTAGTCTATATCACAGCAAGAATAGATAAGGAAACACTTTGAGTAACTAGATCTGGATAATACTAGCAGTGCCTCCTTAACATCAAATTCTAGAAACTCTGATATTTACTATCGTCGATAAATTTTATTCCTTGGGCCATGATTTTATTTTCTGATGTCATTTTCTTGGATAGGTTTTTGTCTGTATTCAATTCTCTAAGCTATCTGTTTCTTAAATCTCAAATCCTTTTCAGGGTTGCCAAGTTACAGAGAAGAGCTCACCTTTTCTGAGTATTTGTCAGGACAGGGCAAATTTGCCTTGAAATAAAATAAGCTCAGGTTTCTGTACAAACTTCCCAGCTTACAAACCAAGCCAAGCCAAGACCCAGGCAGAAGGCTAAATAAACATTGTATGCAAATTGAAAAATTTGTGAAAGAAAGATATTGCAACTGCAATTGGTTAAGTCCACTGTCACTTCCCTACTATGATGCCCTCTCCATCATACCTCTTTTGTCTTGTTGGGTGGCCAAAGAGGAATCCATCTAAAAGAATGTTGTTGGGGTTCTATGGGGTATATTTATATGACTTGCAATCACTTCTATGTGTAATTAAGCTATTGACAGATATCCTAGGTAAGAATGGCTTCCAAAAGTACTTCTGCTGCTCACTGTCCTACTAATTTTGTGGGACTTTTTCTTTCTTTCTTTTTTTAATGTTTATTTATGTGAGAGAGGAAGAGAGCAAGCAGGGGAGGGGCAGAGAGAGAGGGAGACACAGAATCCGAAGCAGGCTCCAGGCTCTAAGCTGTTAGCACAGAGCTTATGCAGGGCTTGAATTCATGAACCATGAGATCATGACCTGAGCCGGATGCTTAACTGACTGAGCCATCCAGTCACCCCTGTGGGATTTTTTTCTTAAAGAGGACCCTGAAACCATCTAAGCTTTAGGTCCCTCCAAATCTGGACCTGCCATTCATACAGAAGACTATCATTTGCTTGGGCCCCTTCTCAAAGTTTTCAACCAGTTTTTCTCATGGATTTTCCCTGCTCCCGGACCTCAGTGTGATTCTGGTAGGCACTCTGAGGCTGATGAAACTGGCCCATGTCATTGTGGTCATGATCAAAGCTACATTGTTCTATTAGGGTTGTCCTCTCTTTGCTATTCGCTAAAGTTTTCTGAAGTGGGCTGCATTTTGGAAATTTGTGGTGTGGTGGTAAGGGGACTTCAGGTGGAAAAGGTCCACTTACGTACACAAATTATGTGATAACCCCAATAGAGAGATTCTTCACTTCTTCTGCACCATGGTGGATTCTGCCTTTGAACTCTGTTGAAGCTTCATCTGTTTGGTCCTATAGACAATTTGTCTTCTCAACACTTAACATGTAATGTGCTTTGCTCTTGAGGAAGAAACCACAGACCGTCCATATCTTTGTTTTCCACGGAGTCTAACTCTGACTTGTTACATATATACCAAAGTTTAATTTTCAGGAGTGTTTTTCTTACCTTTGGTGCTGAAGTCATCCACCAGAAGAATCTCCTTGATGAGGTGCGGAGGAGAGCGATTAAGTACACTATGAACAGACCTCAGCAGAGTGGACCACACTTCATCCACAAAGCACATGATGACACTGGTGGTCGGGAGGTTGTTGTGAACTAGCTGCTCTGCACACCTGGGCCAGGACACAAGCAGGGCACAGTGATGTGCTAACAAGAGCCATGAGTTGGTTTTAAAAGTCACAGAGTACAATTGTATGTATATACACATAGACTCACACGCTCTGTTTATCTGTGGGTATGTCTATCTGTTTTTCTATATATCTGTTCATCCATCCATCCATCATCTACTACATATATCAGTGATAATTTTCTCATGTATCTTTCTTGAGGAAGGGTATAAGTAAAATAAACAAGCGGAGGAAGAATAACCAGTAACAGTAGTTGCTATAAAAGCAACGCAAGCCATGAGAAGTTCCTGTGGAGGCATCTCGTTGTAGTGGACAGGACATAGGCTGTATTGGTTAGACACTATTTTGAATCTCAGCACCAATATTTCTCAGATCTTTATCCTTTGATACCGTACTTAATATCTCTATATCTCAGTTCCTTCATCTTTAAAATTAGGTGAAAGTTCTTATTCAATAGAGTTTTCCGGTCTAGAAAGAATGCACACAAATTGTCTAGCACAGTTCCTGGCACAGGAATTCACCAAATGGTAGCCACCGCTATGCTAATTAGACCATATACCACAAGAGAACACTCCGACATAATTAATGTTACCAAGTAGCTTATGATTGCCCTGCCAACTGGCCTCCTGCCAAGTGCCAAAGGAAATATTCTTTTTCTCACTCTGCACGTGAATGCATGTATGGAGATATATGGAGATATATAATTAAACTCTTCATCTTCCCTATCTACTTAGGGGTTACTTGCTGAGACTCTCTGTGCTACAGAGTAACCACAGTTGAAATAAGTTTGCTGGCATAGAGAGGGGGATAAGGCTCCAGTGGGAGTTGGTATTCAGGTAGGTTGTAATTAGTCTTGGTTTTTCACCTTGTCCTGCAGTGCCCACTGCCTCACTGCTGGTTTCTTCCATCCCCTGCCTGTGCTACACTTCTCAGGAGGGTGCCCAGCAGAACCTCACAAAGAATATTCACCATCCTTCTAACACGGCTACTGTTAGTAATGTCATAATTAAATTATGATGATCCTAAATAAATATTATGGGCACTCTGTATCATTTCAATTTAAACCAACAGGATCTCTTCCCCCTTTTACGGGTGAATAATTGAAATCATGACGAGGCTAGTTCATGATTGGACTGTTAGTGAATGACACAGTTGGGACTCAAACTCTGCTGCAGTCTGGCTCTAGAAATAGCCATTCAGGAAGCCTTCAGTTCTCGAGAATAAAAGAAGCTGGCAGTCTATGTATCATTTTGTGGGAGTAGACACTTCTGCCAGATAATATAACTACACTTTGCTTAGTCTGTAAAGAAGAAATAGATACGAGTAAAAACCATAGTAAAACCATATTTGCATGCATCCACCATTTACCCATCATACTTAATAAAGTACTATTATGCAGATAATTGTAACAACTGGTTGTGATCCATATTATTAACCTCTTCTCTAAATACAGCAAACCGACGCTTGAGAAGTTAGATTACTTACTCAGCATGATTCACCTGGAAAAGATATATAAGGAAATGCGAACGAATGGTCTTCATTTCACTGCGTTATGCTGATTTTTCTGTACTAAGAGCATGGGTTTTGGCAGCAGATAGATAAGTGGTCAAATATCAGTTCCCCTAATTACTGGCTTAGATAAATTGTACAACTTCTTCAAACCTCAGTTTGCCAGAGATTAAGAACCTCCAAGCAGAGATTAAGAATCCACTTATTGTAGGATTCAATGCAAATATTATATAAAACTCACCTAGTATATATCTGACATGCAGCAGATACTTAAGAAAAGGTAGGCAAATCCAGCTTTGGTCTGTAATTCCAATGGTTCCCTAAAGTGGATGGTTATTATAGTGACCTACAAGAGCCTCATGAAAACATAAATATCCAATCTCCATATCCCCCAAATCAATTCAGCAGTAGGCCCTGAGAATATATGTCTTAAAAAACAATCAGTATAAATAAAAATCTACAAACAAAAGGACAACTCACGAGTTGTTAATAGGCCAGTTTGGGAACGTGAGTTCTAAGAGAAAGTGGATTTATTTTACTTATTTTTGGTGGATAATCTTTAAAAAAAATCAACTGAGTGCTGATAGGAGCATGACCTGAATGTTCAAGTGACATAAAATAAAACAAACAAACACGTTTTGATCAGGTATCGCGATCTAGTGATCAGGTATTTAATGTTAACATTAACTAACAGGCAGCCTAAACTAATCTTATCCTACACTAAAGATCCACAGATTGACATTTCTGAATAATATGAGATATTCTTGACTTCACTAAGGGCTATATTAGTTTCCTGTGGCTGCTGTAACAAATTACAAGAAAAAAAAATCTGCTTCTCAGTTTCTTCCTCAATTTATCTTTCTTCTCACATTTTACTATGAACAGAAACACCAGGCCACACCTTCAACGCTTGGCTTGGAATTTTCCTCAGCTAAATATCCAAGTTCATGACTTACACATTCTTCTTTCCACACAGCTGTAGGACACAATTTAGCCAAGGTTTCTGCCACTATCTTGCAAAGATCATCTTCCCTCCAGTTCACACTAATGTGTTCTGCATTTCCTTCTGAACCCTCACAAAAGGCACTTAGAAAGGTCATCTTTTTACCAACATTCTGTTCAAGACAATATATGTATTCGTAAAGCATTTTTTAAATGTTTATTTTTGAGAGAGACAGAGAGACAGAGCGTGAACAGGGGAGGAGCAGAGAGAGAGGGAGACACAGAATTCAAAGCAGGCTCCAGGCTCTGAGCTGTCAGCACAGAGCCTGACGTGGGGCTCGAACCCATGAACTGTGAGATCATGACCTGAGCCGAAGTTGGACTCGCAACCAACTGAGCCACCCAGGCGCCCCAAATGTATGTATTCTTAAAGAGGACAGAAACTTTCTTTTCTGTGCTCCTCACTTCCTTCTAAGCCCTCACCTGCAGCATCGCTAATGTCTGTGTTTCTGCCAGCAATTTTCTTCAAGGTAAATGGATGACACTTGCACAGTTTTAGGTATTTATTATAGCAGCAACCCACGTTTTGATTCCAAACTCTGTCTTAGTTTCCTGTGACTGCCCATGATGAACCTTCTGGCTTAAAACAACAGAAACATGTGGTTTCACAGGTTTGGAGGCCACAGCATTAATTTATTGATTTTATTTCATGTCTTCTGCATCTAGAATTTCCTGCTTACTACAACGCCACAAGCTTGTAGCATAGTTGCACGTAGTTAATATTTGATAAGTATACATTAAATGGATGGATGGAAAAAAACGGAGATGGCATGGAGCTTAAATCAAAAGATTAATGGTGGAAGAAGAGGTATTTTTCTCTGAGATCGGAAGAAAAAACGTGGTAATGTATATAGATGAGTTTATGCACATGGGATGAGAAGTTGAAAGAATTTGTAGCTCATGTTGGAGAAAGGGTTATTTGTTAATGTAATAGGGTAGGGTGTTGAGAAGAAGAGAGAATATTGAGACACCATGAATAAAGGGAAGGAGTACTGGCTAACTACACCTAAAAGGATTTTTGAGGAGCGTTGAGTACCCTCCTGAATTGGGAGATTTCAAACCTCTAGTGAAAATACCCGGTGCGATTTGCTCCACCAGGGTCGGTCAGCCCCCGGGGTGGGAGAAGATAAAAGCAAATTGCTGAATTAATCCAAATCCAGAGGTCATCAGAGAAAATGAGGTAGAAAAGTGGTAGCAGGTTTTGAGGATACTGGTATAAAATAGATAAATGTGCCATTGTGGGCTCTAGGCTGGGAGAGAGGAAGTAAAGCTAAGAGGAGTGTAACAGCCTGAGCGAAAGGAAGCTTACGGAAGACGTCGGTGACTTCCTGTGACTTCTTCATTTCTAATTTTATAACGCAAGTGGATGTAAACTGCATTTCACACTTAAACGTTCCTTATAACATTTGGTGCTGAGAAAAAAAAAAAATTTCTAAAAAGGAAGGGTCAGCTGCCCAAGTTCTGCCTGAGCCATCTGAACCAATAAGCCTCCACTGGGAAGTCCTGAGAGTTTCTTCATTGTTAAAATTAGAAAATCTAGCTACAAATGAGAATGCATTGGGGAGGTAAACAAGCGGGCTAACAGATGAATCTTCTTGGATAATAAATCAGTAGATTTTTTTATGTCTCTTTTAGAAGGAAGTTCTAAGACGTGTCATAATGCTAGACAGTTTGAAACTGGAGGCAGAAACAGCTCTCAGAGATTTGGGAGATTTGGGGAAAGCGCCTCCACTGGCCAAATATCTGAGCTTCCATTTACCCTATCCTATCATGGTTCCTTAGTTTCACCATTAGGCATCCACATGGGTGGGTCCTGAAGGATTCTACTAGATGCCAGTTTCCTAAGAAATAAGTAGGACCTGTGCCAATTATTGACAGATACATATTCCAGATGCATGGACGGAATCCATTCAAAGAAGGTAACATTGCACAGGCCATACTGGTGCCCGGAAAAAGGGGGAGCATGAAAGGATGGGGAAAAGGGGCACAGAAGGAGGTGAAAGAGGTTTGAAGTACAAAGTTGCAGAGCGTGCCTTGCTTCAGGTGGCTGGGATATCAGGGCACTCTAGCATTTATAGGTACCTGGTTTCCTGCACAACTCAGCAGGTTAAATGTGTTTCCAGGTGTCCAGAAAAACCAGCAGGCCAGTAAGACTTTCCATGTTAACTCTCGCTCCCTTTCTTATGTACAGTCATCTAGTTTCTGCAGTCTGTAAAAACTGTTTCAAAACTGACCCAACTAAAACAAATTTCCTTTCTTCCAATGTGCCTGTTGGAAACCTTGCTGCTGTACTGAAGGGAGGGGCTGAAGCCCAAGTCAAGTCTTATTTAAATGCAAGATATTTCTGGGTTGGTAATGTTTTTTGAGGTTTAGGGAGTCACATCTTTCTTCCGTATGCTCATCCGTTACACAAATTAGGTGTTTAGAGTCCACAGATTTCATGCTGCACCTAAAAATGAACCCAATCTGTATTG